GGCAGATATGTGTGTTGCCCAGTTAGTAAAATTTCTTATGTTTTTGTTATGGCACTATGTATGTTGCCTTGTTAGGAGTAGACTCTTATACTTTGAAGAGCACTATGCTTTTGTTAGGAGTAGACTCTTCCAGTTTGAAGAGCAAACTTAATTAGCTCTTCATATGCTTTTGCTAGTTACTAAGACTATGGTAGATAAGATATATGCGAAGTATTGTATGGTTGCAATGATCTTTTCAGGTCTACGTTCTACTATATTGCACAAACATCATGCTAAAACTTCCCGAATTGAGTCATTAAGTTCATACAATGTCAACTACAACATAAACTTGAAACATTGGCAACAAACAACATCGATTAAAAATGAACTTCATTCCAATGTCAACAAACATCATCAACTTCATACAGCTTACTCACTTCAACCAACAACATCAACCAACAACAGCAACCAATAACACTGATCAGTAAAGCTTCTAAAAAATACACAACTGTAGTCAGTCTGACATTTTCATCCCTAGTCTTGACCTACTCAGAATATAGCACTTGGTTTTCCTTCTTCCTTCATTCTGCCTTAGCTTCTACCGCCTTCAATCTCTCTTCCAACATAGCAACGAGCTTCATCTTTGAATCTTCGTCCATCGACGACAGCCGATCAACCCATAGAAAAAACCTACAACTCTTATCAGTGTTCTTCCAATACGGGCAACAGTAAAACTCCCTCCCTGGATTATCTGTTGTCCCAGATACATTTACAGTAGCCGGTACATTGCATCTACACTTCACAACATATGAGTTGGCAGAACTTGATTATGCTTTGTTGTGGTTAGATCTTCGCCCAGACATGGTGGTGATGGTCACCAAACCAACTGTTATAAAAAATTAGGGTTTCATTCGCACCACAGTTGCAAAAAATTCGTTCAATAAAGTTGAATCTTATGGAATGGGTTGTAATCAAGACTAATTTTGACTTACTTACCCTTAGTTATGACCACTCTTCCACACTTCAAATGACCTGCTTCGTCTTTCCTTCTGTGGCGCCTCAACAGCAAACCGTCACCGCCGCCTTCCAAAGCTCGACCGCAAAAGACGTACAGCCACGGTCGCCTTCCTAAGCTCCAGCGTCGCCGTTGTCCAAAGCTTCGGCGGCACAGTCACCGCCGCCGTCGTCGTTTGGAACGCATGTGCAAGAGAGAACCTCCGTTTGGAATATTTTTGTTTATTGAAACGATGCAATATAAATGACACTTTCTCTAAAGTATAGTATTTCCAGTGGTATTAGCCCTAGAATTTATAACAAAATGGCCACTACCTTTCATCTCCATATAAAATTCTGTTGATTTTCCCTATCAACATTCATGCCATAAATTAATTAATTAAAAACAAACTGAACCCAACCTAAAGACCTAAACCATCCACCATCATTGTCCAATATGGCTGCATTCCCCGCCAGTTCTAGTACCTGTTGAAAATATTAAAATTTGCAATTCAATCAGGCCTTTATTTTTCCATTGAAAAAATGTAATTATTGCATAGACAGGTGCGATGGAATGGATAGAAATTTTATGGATAATTGAAACCCAATCTCGTCGTGATGAAGAGGATGAAACTAGACGAGAAAATTCAAAGAAAAGCAAGAGAATCGAAATTGAGAAAATTACATCGCAGTGACATACTCAAGAACAACAACAAGATATATCGAAGATTTGGCACTGTACCTCTGTGCACATAAACCTTTCTTCAAGAGTAAAAAGGACAGACAACGGGGGACTACATCTATAATGATTGAAGATCCAATTGTTATAAGCTTTAGTTTTAAATTATTTTGTAATAGGTAAATGAGATAAATATGATTTTGATATATTGAGCAATATAATAGAATTCTAATATCTTCCTTTGTATCTCCCTCTCTTATCATCTTCTCTTTTTTCTTTATTATGTATTTATCTTCTTCTTCCCTTCCTCTTCTCCTTACTTCTTCCTACTCTCTTCTTCTTCTTACTGCTACTATCTTTCGAGACTCTCTCCTGCTTTTTCTTCTAGTTTATCTTTCTGCTACTATCTTTCGAGACTCTCTCGTCGAGAAACTTAATGATTGTAATCTCTCTAGATATCCTCACACAATGAGTTTGAAAAATGCAGATTTGGTGGTTCGCCATCCGGTGCGAGATTCTCCGCCCTTCATCAAAGATCATAAAATTGTTGGCATTCGTCCCCTCCTTTGTCAGCAAACCGCTGCAATGATCCTGAGTTTTTTTTTTTTTTTTAACTTCGTCGACAAGCCCGCTTTTTCACCACTCAAAGAAGGGTTTGCATTCATTTCTCACCAAATTGCACCTTTTACGAGTTGGCCTTGATAAAACCAAAGCATCAAGGTGCATCTTGCAAGATTTGACACATTCTTCCAGATTCAGCTCATCTCTCCATATTCCTCCATCCCCATCAAAGACTATGTCTCCTACCATAGCTTCTTCTTCCATTATTCCAGCTCATGAGTGTATTTTGAGCATTATTCCTCTACCATCCCTGAAATTCACGAATGATTAGTCATGTAGTGTAGACCAAATTTACCTGACCCTAAGGCCATGATCGTATTCCCTCGGGCCTCTTGCAGAACTCTTACTTCGAAAGCGAGATGCGGTTCTATTAAAGAAGAGGTCAATTTAGGAGGTTGAGGTTTCTCAAGTTTTGCAAACTTAGGCTTTTCAAACATAAAGCAAGTGCAAACAAATAAACCTAAGGCTACTGAAGAAATTAAAGAGCAAGGAAGGAAGGTGTTGCATAGGTGTCGATCCACGTACGTTTCCTAACCACGCACCCTTGATGATCGAAACGTAGGAGCTGCTGATTTCTTATTTAGTTAGATCCCACCTTGTGTCTAATCATTTACCCATACTAATAGGCGACAAGATCCCTTTGAATTTCTTCTTTTAGGCGATATGACGTTTGATCGAATGAGGTTTGATTGAGTAGGAATGCTATTTCTATATCCATCCTAAACGACTATAATTTCGATCCCTGCACCTCGAAGGAGTATAAGGTCGACCTAAGCATTCATTCTAATCAACAAATAACGAAATAGAGGAAATCAAGCATTACACATATAGAAATCAAATAATAGTATTGACAAAATCATCGAGTTTACATGACTAGAACCCGTAGGTTTCATGTACCAACGCAACTAAGGAACTTAGCCAACCATGAGGAGGATGTGCTGGGAGTTATTGACAAAAAAAAAGACTCCAAGAGACCACAGTGATCGGTAGCCACAACAGTGAAAACGGGCACAGTGGCACCAATTTTGCCACCGATTCTCCCTCGAAGGTGGCCTCGCTCTAAGTCAGGAGGTTTGCTATGTCAACAGAGTAATGACCCTTCCTCAACCTCTTGTGTCTCCTCCCCCCCCCCCCCCCCCCCTCCTCCTCCCGAACTCTAGCTCTAGTGCCCTATTTATAGTTTTTCCATTAGGCTTTACAAGGAGTAAAAACCGCCCCTTCTACATCATTCTACTAATTAGAAGTCTGCAAACATGTGACCAGCGAATCAGACTACTTCTAGATAACTTCTTGACGAAGGGGTTGGTTCCATCAAAACGGCACCTTGTCCGCTCTTTCCTTCAGTTAAAACGGCGTCGTTGGCGTCTTTCTTTATTGGCGTCCAGTCTTTGAAATCTAGCTCCAATAACTTGGGCTCGATGTTTCCTATGGCTTCCAAGTGCCCACTAGGGTGCTCGATCCTGAAAATGCACAAAACGCTACCCAAAAGTGCATCAATTATATAAAAGCAATTCTAAAGTTGTTGGAACATACTTGAAGCAATCACAACAATTATTCAAAGCATTGTGACAATAATGATGGGAAATGTACGCACTTTTGGTCACAACTCACAATACGGGGGTCTAGAATATACACTTTCACGTGTCATCAACAGTCAACCTTATGATAATTTCACCTCTATTCTGCCTTTGAATTTCCTTATTTCAATGGTGAAAGTCCTAAAAAATGGATTAGGTTGTGCGAAAACTTGTTTGGATTGTATGGTATACCTGAGCATGAGAAAGTTGAGAAGGAGGCAGCTCGCTTTGGATGTAGGTCAGATGTGTGGGTTTGGAGATGGAGTCTCGACGTCCATTCTTGCTTTGGAATGAGTTTGATGCTGCTTTGTCCAGACGTTTTGGTCTTTTGAAAGGTGCATAGATCTGACCGAGCAACCGGATGGAGGCTTAATTGATAGTGAAAGGAAATCAATGGGTTTTGTTCATCATTATTCTCTTTCCGTGAGCTATCAAAAAATATCGGTAGAGTCTAGGTCCATTGGAGGGAATTTCTTGATTGTCCATGAAACTAAATTAGAGGCGGATTTTATATTATTCTGTGGAGGAACTTGAATGGGATTTTGATGTTGTTTTTTATAGGGATGTGCACAGTGAAGTTACTCCACATTCAGAATAGGCTTAATTGAAAGTTTGGTCACTCGAATTGCTATAAAATTTCACGTTTGCCACTCAAGTTAATTTATTCCATTTATAGTCACTCGAATTAGTTGAACAGTTCAAGTTCGGTCACTCTCCGTTAACTTCCGTTAACTTTGAGTGACGTGGCGGTCAACTCTAACAGTTGACCGTTAAATGTGTGACGTGGCAAATAAAAATTAAATTTTTAGAAATTACACATCATTATCACAAAAAGTTATAATTATAAAAAATAAAAAAAAGAAATTATCACGAAAAGAAATTACACATCATTACGAACAAGGGATTGGTCTAGTGGTAATACCACTAGCCATGAACCTGGAGGTCTCAGGTTCAAGTCCCTTAAGTAGTACCTAATAATAAAAAATTAACCTATATCACCCTTATCTAAAAAAAAAAAGAAATTACACATCATTATCACAAAGAAATTATCACCAAAACAAACAACACAAAATTCCTTCCAGATTCGTACCCTGCCTCCATAGACAGAGTCTTTAGTCTTTACCACACCCATAAAAATTGGGTTCTGTTGGTTCGTCGTTGCAGGGCTGGGCAACTGCGATCTGAACGGCGTGACGATTGGGACGACGAGGAGCGGTAATACGCGCGAAGGCGAGCTGCAATGGAACGTGAAAGTGATCAACAATTGTGCGTGCCCCATCAGCAACCTGGTCGTTTCATGCAAAGGATTCGCTAGCACTCTGCCAGTAAACCCGACTCTGTTCAAGCAGAACGGCGACAAGTGCCTTGTCAATGGCGGCAACCCTCATGCTCCCAAGGCCTCTGTCAAGTTCTCTTACACCTGGCACAGTCCCACCATTCTCATTCCCAACAGCCTTTCCAGTTCTTGTTGATTCGATGCATGATATTGTAGTCATCGATATGGATGGATGTGTGGAAGTTTTGATTAATGGAGTTTGCAATAAAATTTTGGAGTTGATGCTTCATTTTCAATGGATGGAAATTTTGGAGTTTGTGTTGTTTGTTTTTGTGATAATTACGTGGAAGGAATTTCTTTTTTTCATTTTTTATAATTATAATTTTTTTTTAAAATGATGTGTAATTTCTAAAAAATTAATTTTTATTTTTTAATTATTTTTTATTTGCCATGTCACACATTTAACGGTCAACGGTCAGAGTTGACCGCCACGTCAGTCAAAGTTAACGAAGGTTAACGGAGAGTGACCGAACTTGAACTGTTCAACTAATTCGAGTGACTATAAATGGAATAAATTAATTTGAGTGGCAAACGTGAAATTTTATAGCAATCCGAGTGACCAAACTTGCAATTAAGCCTTCAGAATATGAACATTTGCTCAAATTTAACAATATTTTTGGATGGAGATAGATGAAATTGATCATTTTGTTACAAGCCTCTAACCTGTGTAATAATTCAACCATGCCGAATTAAATTTTTGTGATTATTTTGTACACAGTCAAACATATATGACCATATATGCTAATTGGCTACACTGTATTGTGATTATGTATAAATTGAATTATCAAATTCCGATCCTGCTGCAGACTAATCAATCTACACGTTGATGCCTTCCATTCTTGTTTTTTTTTCTTTTTCGTTTGGGCAACACTTCCTTGGTTCCTCCTCCTCATCCTTCATCTCTGAAAGATCAATATATAAACACCCACATCCCACAACTAGATTATGCCACCTACATAAACAAATCCACAAAGGCAGGGGAGAAAAAAGCATCATGTAACATAATACAATTAAGCTAGGGGAAATCACATGCATAGATGATCAAATTTTTGGAGGAGTTGAGAAATTGCCTTATGTGCTTTCTTTCGATTCACGATGGGCGGTGGTGGTGCTCGCTTCGGCAGAACTTTTGTTCTCAAGCTTCTTCGGAGGATCGCTGCTGAGTTTCTGGTTGGAATCTCAGCAAAATATCCACCATTTTCAGACTTCTTGACGCCATCTGCATCTGATCTCCAGTTATCCATTTGCAGTTGAGTACTATCCCTATTGTAACCTGCAAAACAGAGAAGCATTGGGACTAAGAACGAATGAACGACATGATACGAAGGAAGACATAATTGTCAGAACAACATAGACATATATAGTACGGGAGCATAGTTTTGTATATTACCACAAGGCCGCAGCGCAGAGGAGGAAGGGATATCATCAGCAGGAAGAAGATGCAGCAGCAACAATGCTATTGCCGCCAACTTTCCCAGAGAAACTGTCATCTTCGAAGAAATTCCAAGGTAGTTACCCTAATCGATCCCTTTGTTGATAATGAGAATGGGGCAGGCTGTCCCAAAGACTTGTTGCAAGTGGTATTATATATGTAGTTCCTACTTTCGATCTACATACTCTGAGCCGTTACAATATCATTTTTCTCATAAACAATGTTGTATTAGGTTGTACCTAAATAGAAAAGGGAATTTTTGGTTGGCCCATGTTTGTATTGAGAATGTTTACAAACAAGCTCCAAAATTACAAATTTTAACTTTTAAGTCCATAGATGATGCATATTTTGGTGTCGTTTGCTTGTGGGTGATGTATTTGGTACCTAAATACAAAGCATTATGTATTTGATATAAAAACATTGTTTGTTGAGCTATACAAATCCGTGGGGCCCACGAATTTGGTCATTTTTTTAGCCTCGGATCCGTGGATCCCACGTATTTGCAAATACCACATTTTATTTGATATTTGGTCATTGAAGGCAAGGAGTTGAGACCCATGGTACAAAAATCTTTAAGTTCATGATCAAAATCAACTAAACAAACAATGTTATCTTTCAAATATCAAATAAAACAAATCCATCATAAACCAAAGGTTTTCAAAACTAAAAATCTTCATTTTCAAATCCAACAAGCAAACGAACCCTTTGTATTGGAAATTGGAGCATGATATTGTATCCTGACTTTTACTCGGTGAATCAAAATCCCTAATTCTCCAAACTCAAACCATGTCAATTTAATAATAAAAAAAACTGACATTTCTGATTCCTCCTCCTGTCTCTGGTCTGTCCCTTCTGCTCTCTAGTCAATCGGAGAGGGGTGCATATGGCTTTGATGAGTCCCGACTCGAAGGAGCAATTGTTTGCTCGTTACATTTTTAAAGTTAGGTGTTGCTTAAAATTCGAATATGAAAATTCCAAGTTCAAAATCAATGGTGTAACCACTGGACCAATCTCTGATTCGCTAGACGAAAGGGGTTAAGGGAGAACATTGTTATAGTTGAGGGGCTTGCATGTTAAGTTCCATAGTTGAACAAGATTATTTGCAATGTTGCATAGTACAAGAACTAAAAAGTGTACTAAAATAAAAGACAATATGGTGCAGGGCACCTAACATAAACTATCACATTCATCGAGTTGTCCATGAGGTCACCCACAAATACAACAATTTGTGAGTTGCACCTTTAATGGAAGAGGTGCGCCAAACAAGTTAAAGGCCTCTCCATGATGAGAATAATAGCACGGTAGCCAGATTTCGTTTATTGAATCAAAAGTCAACTTATAATCAGCAGGCAAAGGAGCAACTCATGCTCTCCAATGTCAACTAGCTAGCAAGTTGGGAACAGAAAAACAAGCTTATTAGTTGTTGCATTATTTTCAGCAAGCTTTCTTAAACGACAATCCAAACGCAAGGAAATGGCTGTATAATGAAGGTCAACCTAAGCAAACATAATAGGATTATAGGACACGCAATTGCAACTTGGATCTCTTGTTGGATTTGTTTTTTTTCGGTTTTGATGTATGATGGTAAGACTTGCCCTCAAAATGCTACTGCCAGAACTTAATCAACAATTTTTTACCAAGTTCATTGCTTTGACACCAAGTCTCCACAAAGTGAATTGTAATCACTAAGCCCTCCCTGGCGCATATTTCCCTCCACCACAGTTCCAAGGTCCAAGTTTTTGCCTGTTTACGAATCTGCCTTCGGTAGTTCTACAAGAGTCCTTCAAAATTTTCGACCAACAAGGACCGCTGAAACAACCTATCACTAAGAGAATTTACTAGCCGCATCTGTGTAATATGATATCTAGTACATATCACCCATATTTGGCATTCGACTGGGAGGTTTCTTCTCGTTTGGATTCTCCGTCACAGAAGCCTCTGTGGTCGTCAACAGCAACGAGACACTGCAAACCAGAATGTGTACGAACGATACCATTCTTGTTCAGAGAAATGCAAAATGGTAATCGGATAAACAAAAACTTTCATGCAATCCGTGAAAAATTGGTTACCTGGCAGCATCTACTAAGGCTGTCCTAATGACCTTCAGTGGATCTATAATTCCTTCTTTCACCATGTCCACATATTCACCTGTTTCGCCACAATCATCATCACATAGTCAACGGTGCAGTTAGCAAGAGTTGCATGCTATCTAACTGAAACTCGTAGAAAGAAGAGTTAGACAAACCAACCTTTGGCAGCATCATAACCCAGGTTATGATTCTCTTGATCCAACAATTTGCCAAGAACTACTGCAGCATCAAAGCCAGCATTTGATACTATTGTATGTGCAGGTGCCTAGATCAACCCCAGAAAAAATAGATTAGATGACAATTAAGTCAATGTGAAGGAAAAGTTGTGTGGTAGGGAGGAATGGGACGAACCTTGAGAGCATTCTGGATTATTTCAATGCCCCTTTTCTGGTCCTCATTTTCAGCTTTAAGGTTGTCCAAAGCCTTTGAAGCGTACAGAAGAGCAACGCCACCTCCTGAAAGGGGAAATGGTGAAGTCACCTTACTGGACTTTTGAGTTGACTGAAGAATTTCACTCTTGAGATCAATGTTAACCTACCTGGAACAATACCCTCCTCAACTGCCGCTTTGGTTGCATTCAAGGCATCTGTTACTCTGTCTTTTTTCTCTCCAACTTCTACTTCACTAATGCCGCCAACCTACGGGAAAAAAGATTATTACTATCTTCGGAAGAAGATAAATACCAGTCTAGGGAATTATTTCCCGATAGCTATTACGGTAAACCCAGTAGGAAGATGTGGGATTCTACGGCTGTGACTGTGAGTGCATGCATAAATCCGGATGACTGAATAACAAACCTTGAAGACAGCAACACCACCAGACAGCTTTGACAATCTCTCTTGTGCTTTTTCCTTGTCAAACATTGAGGTGCTCTTCTCTATGGACGTCCTAAGCTGGAAATTGAACAAACACAGTTAGATTAATCGAAGAGTAAGCAAAACAAATCTGAAGCTAACTTCATATACCTGGTCACATCTTTCTTCAATCTCCTTCTTATCTCCACCACCATGCATGATTATCGAGTCATCCAGAGAAACAGTGATCTGCCATTGAATATGTCAGTTTTTATTTGGACAAGTACTGAAAATAATAAAATACGGTGTTTACTTATAAGCAGACCTTTTTAGCAGACCCAAACATTTCAGGCTGAAACTTGTCAAGAGTTAACCCACGATCTTCACTGAGAACCTGAGGAAAACAGAGTTTCTCAGGCCAATACAACAAAGTAAGAAATAAGGTACAGACATTATGTAAGAATGTTTCATCACCTCTCCACCAGTGAAAACAGCAAGATCGTCCAAACTTGCTCGTCTATTCTCCCCAAATCCGGGAGCCTTGATAGCACAAACCTGGACAAAATTGTAAAATGTTAAATCATAAATGCCACAGATATGAGCAATATGAAGATTTAAGTAATTTAATCACCTTCACTCCAGCATGATGCTTGTTCAGTATAAGCATAGCCAAAGCTTCACTCTCCACATCTTCTGCCACCACCAGGAGCGGCCTGTTTTTCTATACAAGTAATAAGGTAGAAAATGCAAACATATTAGAATTAGAAATTATATTTATGCATCCAGTCGATGGATCGTTCATTTAACGACAAACTAGGAAAAGTGAAGCTTTACATTGACGGTAAACTCCAATATTTTCACAAGGGAGGCCACATCTGAAATTTTCTTTTCATGAATGAGAATCATAGGATTCTCGAGTTCCTGCATGAATATTAACAATCGGTCATTTTAATAAACAGAATCAGATATTCATGCTAAAGACAAAGAACTGAAGCTTACACATTTTTGGGTCTTCTGATCAGTAATAAAGTATGGGGAAATGTAGCCTCGAGCTAACTTCAATCCTTCCACTACTTCCAACTCGTTATCCAAAGTATTTCCATCCTGGAAAAGTCGGAACCCATAAGAAACCTGTAACTGAAATAGTCACCGGAGAGCATATATCAAAGCAGAAGGAAGAAAGGATGCTCACAGCAACAGTGATTACTCCTTCCTTCCCAACTTTCTCCATTGCTCTTGCTATAAGTTCTCCAATCTCCCGCTCACCATTTGCAGAAATCGTGCCCACCTAATCATCATAACTTAGGTTATTTTGACTAACATATTCACCCTTTGTTGTTCATTGCCATTAGTAGTTAGCTATCCCACAAACAGGGACAATAAATTAGCAGGAAATCAGAAACTACGGGAAACTGTATGCCTGTGTAATCTCTTCCGGTGTGCTTATCATTACTGCTCCCTTCTTCAAATCAGAAACAACAGCATCAACAGCCATATTAATACCATTCCGCACATCCATCACATTTACACCAGCAGCTATAGACTTGCACCCCTCAGTTAGTATTGCCTGAGTCAGCACAGTAGCACAAGTTGTACCTGCAGCCACATAAGTAGGGGGGAATCGCATTTAGAAACTGCATCAATGAAAAAACTTATCCACCAAGTGTGGCAACTCGTATAATTCTTGCCATTCAAACTAGGAGAAGCCAATACCAAGAGAATATTACCATCCCCTGCAGCAGTATTAGTAGCATTGGCAACCTGCTTCACAAGATCAGCACCAACATTTTTGCTTCTGTCCTTGAATTGGATGCTTTTAGCAACAGTAACACCGTCCTTGGTCACCTTGGGGCTCCCGTTGCTTTTCTCGATTATAACATTCCGCCCCTGCATCAAACCAAGAAACAATAAATGCATAACAATGAAGATTATAACCTTCTATGAGATCTTGAACACAACAAAGGAGATAGAAAGATCCAGTACCCTTGGTCCCATTGTGACTTTTACAGCATCTGCCACCTCAATAACACCCTGCAGCATTGCTGCACGAGCCCCAACCCCGAAATTGATATCCTTTGCCACATAACTTCTGTTACTGATAACCCTACTATACACCTGTCATATACCCAAAAATGGACGGATGAAGGAACGATAAACTGTTTAATCTCCCTAAAACAAAGAACCAGAAAGGGTCTTAGAACCCAAAAAAAACTACATCCTCCCTTTAGTCTAATTAATGCAACACTGAACGCTAAAGATCATTCCTATACAGTGATGCTCAAAGGACCCAATTTGAGTTTATATGAACAACTCGTTCAAATTCCTCATTTCCAGGATAGAGACGGTCAGAAAGAGAAAGAAGGAAAACAAAATCGAAAGCCAAGTTTCTCGACGGGAGAGCGAAATTCAACTCTTACCACTTTCTTCGAAGCACTTGAGCTGCAAGAGAAGGGGAGGAACTAAGGTCAGAGACACGGAGCCTCGGGGAGCAGAAGCAGTTAATACGAAATGAGATGGACCAAAATGGAACGAAGATATGAATTACCGCGCTGAAGAAGCAAGTCTGGAAGCAATTCGGTACATGATGATGATAATGATGATCCAATAACGTGAAGAACACTTCGACAAAATTCCCCAATGAGAGCTCGCAGAAAATGGCTGAGCTGAAGCTCTTACTGACTGGTAGTTGTGTAGGGTTTTTGAGGGGTTTTGTTTTTCGCCTTATGTTGACTCAAGTCTAGAAGAATCTACAGAGAGGCGAGAAATTGGGCCTGAACCAGGACCAGGATTGAATTAATTAGCTTGATGAGCCTTTGTCAATGAAGGCCTTTACTCTCTTTTTTTTTTTTTTTTTTTACGAAAACCTATGATCAATTGAAACAGTTACATCATACATGTTTATTAGATATTTAGATCCACCAAAACAATTGATGGTCTATCATACCATATCACTCGCCCATCCTATTGGTTTCTAGGGTGTTCAAATGGTTACCATGGTTATTACCAAACCAAATAAGGCTAAATTTCATTAACCATGGAATACAATATCATAACCAAACCGTCCAAACTAATATAACAACCAAATTAACCAAACTAATATTTAATCGGTTTGGTTAATTGGTTAACCATATTAACCAATATAAAATCACATTATCATTAAGTCAGAAAAATTTCAGTTAATTTATCAATTCACAATTTATATAATGAATAAAACATAACAATCAACACATAGTTATAGTAGACCCTTAACATAAATACATACAACTAAGACAATTATCTTACGGTTAGTATAGAAGTATTCACCTAACAAAAATTTATCACGATGGTATGGGTTAATGAATTGTTGTGTTTGTTTGAATTGACTTAGTCTTTTAGCAATTTTCATATGTTGAAAAGGACTTTGCTTTCAAGTTTTCATCCAATACAATGTATGAGATTTATTTAAATTAGGCGTTCATATGTTGTGGTCTACACTCTACATATACAAATATACATTATAGGAACAATATCAAGCTTTATATTTTATGAGTCTAAAAGGGATGAACGTTTAACTCTTGAGTGGTTATTCAAAGTATTAAGTATGTGTATATATTAGATATATGGCTAATTATTTATCTGGTTAATTTGGTTTGGCTGGTTAGGAGTGTCTGAAACCAAACCAAACCACCTAAACCAAACAAGCTAAAAACTTTAACCAAACCAAACCAATTATCCAAATTAACCAAACCAAATTATCCAAATAGTACTGGTTAAAATGATTACCATGGTAACCACACCGTTTGAACACCCCTAGTGGTTTCTACTCGTGTCATAATGTGAGCGGCAACATTAGCTTCTTTTCATATATGATTTAAATTTGCTCCTCCAAGTTGCCAAAAACCTTGAAAGATACTTTATCATAGTACTTCTGTTTTTGTAAGATCCTTCTCCAAACTCTGCAGTTTTTGGATAAGCGTGTGACATTCTCTTTCCAACAAGGGGTTAGAGGTCTACATCATAATCTCCATTTGGACACCAAGCTCCACCGTGAGAGCCTCGACCCTCTCCACTTCCCAAGTACCCTGAACTCGCTCTCCACTTCCCAAGTACCCCCCATACTCGCTTTTATGTAGTGATTATGAACTCCCCTTGGTAGTTATCACCTCCTTAATCTTATTCCAACAGTCACATTGTCATAATAATTCAAAACATCTAACGAGCAAGGAAGATCTCCAAACCTTAGAACTCTAGTTGCACTCTCTAAAAAGATGCATTTGGTCTCACTAAGGTCACAAAAGGACATTTTCCACCATTTTCGTCTTTGAGTGCTCATACAATCCCCCTCAAGGGCGAACCACCATAAGAACGACTTCACTTTGGGAAGGGGGGGAGTCAATCCTCATAGCCTCTTCCAAATACTCAGTTCTCCCAATGCATTAATTTCTTCTTGTGCACAAAATTTCTTAAGACATCTTTATCCATCATTGATTGAATAATTCTCGTTTGTGCTATCAAGCCAAATAAACTTGCTCACTTCCCCATTTCTTCTTAAAATAATTTGACCAATGGCACGTACAATTTCGTAAGGGAACCAGTTTTTCAATAGCAGATAGTTTCATTATTCCTCTTCTTCGTTGATCAGTTCATGAACTATAGCATCAACCGGTACACCCACTGGAACCGACGGGTTAAATAAATTTTCCAAATGCCGGAACCCATTGATCCCCTCAGATTTCAAAAATGGTGCCATTATCGATGCACCAACATAAACCACTGCAAAGGAGATTATGAGATGAAATGAGGCTTCTCCATATATAGCTAGGGTGATAACCCAGGTTCGACTACATACTCAGAGCGCATATGGTACTTTTCTCGGGGTATTCTAGCAATCAAGGAGTCGGAATTTTGGTAGAGGTTCCATAGTTGTTTTGAAAGTAGAGTTATGTGGAACCTCTCAGGTCACGGAAACCCATCCCACCAGCCTCTTTCGGGTATATCAACTCCTCGCTCTTCACCCATTGTGCTAACATTTCCGTCCCTTTCGGGCATAGCATAGGTGAACTGTGCATCCGCTACTGATTTTATTAACACTTCCCTTGTCGCTATGGATAGAGACTGTCTTCCCAACCCTTCAGTTTCTTTCATACTCTTTCTTTCAAGTCCATAAATAATTCTTTTTTTTTATCTCCCGACAATGGTGGCAACCCAGATATTTTGCATGTTTCTCCACAATTTTCATATGTAGCAATCTGCCCACTTCAACCTTATAATGAGGTCTAACATTACCACTAGATGAGACCGCAAATTATGGAAAGCTGATCAACTGTCCCGACTCTTTCTCATAATCGCTCGAAATTAGCTTAAGCTCTCGACTTTCTAGAACTGTAGCTCGACTAAAAATATGTTACCATCTGTGAAAAATAAGTGACAAACCACCGGAGCCCCTTGTATCGCTTGAAAACCATGAATCCTATTCTCCTAGACTGTGAGAGGGGTATAAGCAGAGAGACCCTTGGCACAGAGGAGGAAGAGATACGGCGATAGAGGGTCATCCTATCTAAGGCCTTTTCCCGGACTAAACTACGGTTACCAATGTCCATTAACTAGTATTGAATGAGTTACTGAGGGTATGCACTTCATAATCACCTTAATCCAAGCTCTGGAAAAACCCATCCTAGGCATAACCCCCTCCAAAAAGTGACACACTACGCGATCATACGCTTTTTCACATCACTTTTTGTCACGAAGTAGCCCACTTTTTCCTTCGTTTTCTTCTTCATCATATGAAAATACTCAAAGGTTGTCATGATATTATCTGTAATGGATTGATCAGGAACAAAAAAACACTAAGGGCTAGCAAGATTACCTTATCCGTTAAACCTTTCAATCAGTTTGCCAAAACTTTTGACATCATCTTATAGAGCACATTACAAAAACTGATTGGGCAAAACTCTTATGGCTTATACGGAGACTTAACCTTCGGAATGAGTGTTATAAGGGTGTGGTTCAGCATTTGTGGAACGGCCCCTCCATGAATGATTTCCCTGACAGTCAGAAAGATCTCATCACCCATAATATTTCATACTTGCAAAAGTAAAGGGTTGATAGTCTGTCCGCTCCTGGCACTTTGCGTGCCCCATGTATCGCAATGCATGAGTACCTTCGTCCTTTGACACTAGTCGCACCAACTCCTCGCTATCCTTCATTGTGATTGTTGGCCTTATGGATGTTGGGCTTATGGAGTTAAGAGCTAGTGAACTGGTCGAGACTTCTCGTGCTTCTCGTGCTGTAAACAAGGGCAAAAAATAATTAGTAAATCATTGAAACAAATTTTCCTTTCCCACGTGTCATCTCCATTCTTCATCCTATATCTTACGAATTGAATCTCATTTACTCTTTAGTCATTAACTTCATTGAGGATAGCGCGATGCAATTAGTGTTATCATTAAACCTAATCAATTGTGTCTATAATAATTATAAAGAAACATTATATTTTGGTTATTTCACCTCACTCGTGTACTTTAGTTGGATATTTATAAGTGCTTCAGGTACCACATACATATACAGTAAGGTCTCTGTAATAAGGAAAAAGATACAATGTATAAAAAACACATAGGGTTGTTTGAAGAAAAAGATTTCAGTGACGAATTCATCAGATTTAAGCATGAGACTCAAGGAGTGTTAGCCCCCTACTAACAATAATAATAATGATGATGTTTTGGTAATTATAAGCCTCACCCTAATTAGGGGTGAGCAACGGGAAACGGGTATTTTGGTATACTCATACCCGTCCCATTTTTTATGGGTTACGGGTACCCAAATACCCGTATTTTTTTATGGGATAGAACTTGGGATTTAGAATAGCTACTTTGGGTACCCGCTGGTTACCCGTCAATACCCGTTTGGGTATTACGGGTACCCGTTATACCCATTAGTCCAAAACCCAAAACCCAACTACCAATTGTTGCTACTCTCAACTGCCGCCGCCGACTACTTCATAGCCGGATTTCTCCCTCAACAACCGAATGTTAGAGGCTTGTGCAGAGGTATGTGGCGGATTGTTTTTAGTGTTTTACTATTGATGTGAGCTAGTAGTTGGATTGCCGATGGCTTCTATATGCAAATTGTTGGATTGTTTTACTACTGAAGAGGTACACAGTGTTAGAGGCTTGAGAAGAGGTGTGGTTGGCTTGTGTGACTAAGTGTGGCTTATTCTAACAGTAGCCTCTTTAGCTTCTTATTATTAGGTGGGTTTGTTTAATTTTGTTAAAAATTTTGTAGTTTTTCCACCAATTGTACGGGTATTTACGGGTAGTATGAGTACCCGTTATCCGTCCCATACGGGTAATGGGTACCCGTTAACCTGTACGGGTTTGGGACATGGGATAGAGATTGCTCATCAAATGGGACTGGGTACCCGTTTCAAACGGGACGGGTATCCTGTCTCGTCTTGTTGCCCACCCCTACCCCTAATCACAATGCACCGTACCAGATCCTCATACATTGTTTATGCCCATCTAACTCTTTATCACACAATGAGGAGATGAGGTTTGGTTATATCCATCGCGTTTCCAAGTGATCTTCGCTGGCACCATATTCTGTTAAAGCATCCATTTCGCCATCATGTCATTTTTCCTCGCTTCAACCAAAACCACCGCCAAGCTCCTCGATATGACGATCGTGGACTGCCAATTCCACCACAATATGGCCAAGCTCAACGAATCCTACTTCGATCGTGTCGTCGCCGCCAACCATTCGCTCACCCACATG